TTGGTGATAGATTTTTCGATGATTACAAGGGATGTTGGAGGTCTGAAAGGTCTGAATCTTCTGAAATGCTTCTTTTTCTTGTTGCTGCAAAAACATGTGGGATCTTTGAAAGAACATTTGATTTGAAGTCCTGAGGAGGAGTAAGAACATGGTTTTTCTAGCTTTTTGGAGTTGTGCACCAAGGTTTTGATGTATTTGTGCTCTTTGCAAATCTTATCAAGGGCTTTCAGCATCATCTTGTAAATGTTTCCAAGGGTCATAGATTTAACATCAAGGGATCTGAGGTTCAACTGGGTCCTTGTTTGCTGGGCAAGTTCTTCTGGAACAGAATTAAGAAATGCTTGCTTTAAGTTGACATCATCGAATCCATCAAGTATGTAGAAATATTGGGAGAATTGTTGATAGTGTCTGTCAAGATTTTTTGGATAGAGAGAACAGTATTTTAGTTTGAAGAATTACTCTCTGATCTTTTCCAATCTGTGAGTTTTTTGTCCATAAAAGATTGCTGTAAATTGAGAGACAGCCTCTGTGATTGTTAGGCATTGAAGAAACTAGAGTTATCTGTATTCACCAATGTTGTCCCAAAAATTTTTCAGAGTTCCAACTAGTCTAGAAATAAATATGATCAAAACTGTGTTCATCGTAACATTGAGATGAGAGTTTAATTCAACGAATCCCCATGCATGATGTCTTCTTTACCTGTACCTTTACCCTCTTTTGACCCTGTTCCTCAAACGGTCACCAATCCTTTTCTTTTCCCTTACCTTTACACCCCGAAATACAAACCCTTTGTTCCAGACCCAGACATAAGAAGTTCTTCAGATATGCTGATAAACCTAGAAGATTTCGAAGATTCAAATTTGCAAGAAAGAAGAAAGATCCAAAGATCAAAAGCTCAAAATGTTTTCTCTGTGGAAAACCAAGACACTTTTCAAAGAATTGCCTAAAGTCAGACAAAAGGTCAATCAAGATGATCCAAGACATTGCTACTATCTCAGGTATCAATCTCTCAGATGATGATCTTGAATCAATTTTTTTTCTTGATGATGAGCAGAATGAAAGCTCCCTGTTTATGATTAAGCAGTTTGATAATGATAAGTATATAGATTCAGACTACTCAGATGATTTCACAAATGATCAATGTTATAAGTATATGTCAGTTCAAAAACTCCAAAAAATCCAAACCCTTCAACCTCCCATATTACCCTTAGCTCCAGTCCAGATTTTCCCTCACAAACATTCTCCTTCTATAACAGTCACAACTTTTTTTGATATTGATGCAGCCCAAACCATAACAAACCCCCTTGTCTTACCCAAACACTTTTGGACCAAACAAAAAACCTTCTTCAAAACTGTTGATGAAAATGTATTTTTTACAGACTTTGTCAGCAACCCTGTTACCCTTCAAATATTTCCAAGATGTCAAATAACTCAAAAGATTTTAGGATCTCCACTTCCCCAGAAAGACTTTGTTATTGGTTTTGATATCATTACCAGTATACCAGGTTTAAAGCTTAGTGGAAAAGGTATCAAGTTTGAAAGTTATTTTAGACCTTGGAAAACCTTTCCAACCTCTTCACCCTTACCATTCAACCAGATATTTTTCAAGATTTCAAACACAAGTTTATTCACTTTTCATGTGCAGAAAATCACTCAGATTTCTTCCAGAAATGTGATCACCCATTTTGGCAAAACCCAAAATTTTTCATTTTCCTTCCCTTCAAAAAAGATGAAAATGCCAATCCTACAAAAGCTAGTCATTCAAGCATGAACCCAGACCATTTCAAGCAAGCAATCCAAGAATGCTCCCTTCTCCAGGCTCAAGGATTAATTAAACCAACCTCCTCTCCATGGGCATGTGAAGTGTTTTATGTCAACAAACGTTTAGAACAAGTTTGTGAAAAATTAAGATTGGTAATCAATTACAAGCCTCTTAACATTTTCCTTGCAGATGATAAGTTTCCTCTTCCAAACAGAAAAACTTTATTTGCAAATTTGGCAAATGTAAAAGTCTTCTCAAAGTTTGATCTCAAAGCAAGATTTTGGCAACTAGGTATCCATCCACAAGACAGATACAAAATGGCGTTTTGCATTCCTCAACACTATTTCCAGTGGACAGTAATGCCTTTTGGATTAAAAGTTGCTCCTTCACTGTTCCAGAAAGCCATGACCAAGATATTTGCTCTAATTCTTGATAATGCCTTGATTTACATTGATGACATCTTACTATTCTCTCCTAATGACACCTCTCATGCACGGTTATTGGATAAGTTCCAACGCATTGTTCAACAGTATGGGATAATGCTTTCAGAGAAAAAGATGATCATTGGTGCTACAGAAATTGATTTCCTAGGCATGCATCTTCAAGATGGTCAGTACATTGCTCAACCTCATATTGCTCAGTCACTTGCAGATTTCCCTGATGAAAATTTTTCCAAAAAACAAATTCGGCAATTTCTCGACATAGTCAATTACATGAGTGAATTTCTCTCAGATATTGCCCAGCTTACACATCCACTCAAACAGATGCTCAAGAAAGAACCACCCACGTGATCTCAGATCTAGACAAATGTAGTACAAGCTTTGAAGGTAAAACTAAAGTCACTTCCCACTTTAAAGATTCCATCAGATGGTAAAAGAATATTGCAGACCAATGCTAGTGAACAATTTTGGTCAGCAATCCTTTTAGAAGAAAAAGATGGAACCAAACAAATCTATGGTTACAAGAGCGAAAAATTCAAAGATTCGAAACTCCATTATCACTCTACACTAAAGAGATTTTAGCTGTAAAGTATGGAATCCAAAGATTTGAATTTTACCTCATTAGATTTCACTTTCTCGTGGAATTGGATATGTCAGCCTTTGATCAGATGCTTAATTTCAAAAGAAAAAAATGCCAAATGCATAGTTACTCAGGCTATCACAGTGGTTCTCACATTACTCCTTCACCACCGCACATATAAAAGGTAAAGATAATCTCATTCCAAACATGCTTACAAGATCTCCTTCAAAACCTCATTCAAACACTTTACAGGTCATTCCAGTCATTTCCATGATATACCCAACACCTTTTTCTTCACAAGCCTCTTCCTAAAAAAACCATCTTTATCCTTCTTCTCAGAAACCTTACCTTGATGATGAATTTGATTTACCTGATGAATTTCTTAACCTTTCCATCGAAAAATCTATCACCAACATCCCTTGTAATCATTGAAAAATCTATCACCAACATCTCTTGTAACAAAACCTTTTTCTCTATAAAATATGTTTGGCTAAAAACCTCTTTTCTCTTTTGGTAATTCCATCTTTCTTTTTACATCATTAAATCTTTTAGCTCATGCTTCTCTTCAAGTTATTAAAAGTTTGCAGTGATTCAAGTTGAGTATGCTCTGTAGTTGTCATATTATTATGGATCCTTTGCATCAAAAATTCTTGTTAATCTATTAAACAGATCATTGATCCCTTTTCCTCAGCCAAAAAAAAGTTATATTACCTCAAGATTATACTAATAGTAAGTTACTATAGTGAAAGACATATCTCCATAAAAGTCAGGCCCCCAGTTCGACGTTAAAGCCAAGAAGGCGTCAGAGTCTTGAACACCGGCTAGAATACCTTGGTTATATGTCTGATCTATGAAAAGCTTATGGTTGGTATTATCTTGTCAAGTTGGATCAATCTACACGCTGTTGTCATAGTACCAGATAGTATTGTCAAGACTCTACCATCTGGAGAGCTCGAAACTGAAACCGTATCAGTTACTAGAGCCTTGATCGTACTACATGCCGCTGTGTATAGAAATGGTATCAAAGCGATCTACACGCTGTTGTCATAGTACCAGATAGTATTGTCAGGACTCTACCACCCGGAGAGCCCGAAACTGAAGCCGTGTCAGTTGCCAGAGCTTGGGCCGTACTACCTGTCGCTGTGTATAGAAAGACATATTAAATAGGTGAGAAAGGTTTTGCATGTAATTTCAAAAAAATAAAAAAAGATCGAATGAAAATTTTTGCATATTTTGATGTGATAAAAGAAGAAAAAAAATGATATAGTTGATTAAATAAAGAATTGCGCTGTTAAAAATAATAAAAAATAAATAAAATTTATCTACAACAAAATTAATAAATAAATTAAAAACATATTCCCTTTTTCTTATCTTAAATGTCCATTTTTTTTATTATCTCAAAATTATGCTATTTTTACTGCCTACTTTTCTTACCTTTTTAAATATTTTACATTTTTTTAATTATTTTTGTTTGACATTAAAAATTATAGTTTATCAATTTTATGAAATTTTAAAAAAACTATTAAAATCATTAGAGTCAAGATATTTTTCTAAATTTTCATGCCAAGTTAAACATAGATATTCATTTTAAAACAAAAAAAATAATCAATGATATATTAAAAAAATAAAGGATAAAAATATACGATTAAGGTTAGTTTATAGTATAAATATCATAAAAAAATAAAGGATAAAAATATATGATTAAGGTTAATTTATAATATAAATATCATAGGTGATTTTAAAATGTAATTTCAATGAATTCACGTGATAAATAGAACATGATATAAATTATATGATCTGCTTGTAATCATTTTTATTTATAATTAAATAATTAAAGCAATAATTACTCGTCTCAATAAAAAGTAAACAAAATGACTTAAAAAATTATTGTTAATTTTTATAGTTATTTTACATGATAAAAATATCGAATACAAGCGTTTGAAAAAAAATGTAATTTAAAAATTAAAAAAATGCAATTTGTGTTTCATAAGGTATTGCAATGATTGACTGTAACTGATTGTAAATAAATGATTCCAAATTTCAATTTATTTTTTTATTAATTAATATATTCTTTATGAAAGGATTTTATAAATAAATATTCCAAAATAATAATCTTTATTTCATTACTACTTCTATTTTTGGATAAATATTATACTATTTTTAATTATGGAATTATACTATTTCTTTTAGATATGAAAAAAGTTCACAATGCAGAGACTAGAGAGGTGGTGACGGCGCCCCGTTAAGCATCAGCCATGAATATATAATTGCATTGGCAGAAAGAAGGATTCTGAAAGCTGACTGGATTCTTTTAGTATTAAAAAAAAACCTGACTTAGTTTGACTGCTAGTTTGTCATTTTATAGGTCATGCATAAACTAAGTTGCATTGGAATATCAGATTCTCTCGATTCTCTAACAAAGTACGCATGCTTGCCAGCTCAGCTACTCTTCGGCATCTGCGAAGACCCAACAGGATAGAGTTCAACGCTGCCAACCCAATTACAAATCTGAAATCAGCATTCAACACGCAACCATATCAGATTACATTTTAAAAGAAATCCAGGCTGCATAATATTCGCAGTGAATGACATCAAATCAAAGCAGGCCACCGGTTATTTCACTATTTTGCCTTACTATATTTTCAATTTATAATGCACGAGTCTTAAATTTTACCTGAAAAAGATCTTTAAAAAATAAAAGAGAAAATCAATTCAGATGGCAAAACTAAATTGACCATCGATCACCATGGATGGTAGCAGCTTTCCCTTAACCCTTTCTAAAATTTATGCAGTCCATTAATTTCACCTGACAAAAAACTCAACAAAATTTCTTCTAGATATATATTAAGAATATGAGATGATTAAATATAGCAATTTGGGATGGTTTAATTCATTTTCTATTTCTAAATTTCTTTTATTAAATCATGAATCTTAAAAAACAAAAATGGTTTTCATCATTTTCTTGATGATTTAATCTTAATCTTGGGTTTGGCACAAGTAATTACATCAACGTGGTGTTCAGATGATCTATGAGTCTTTAAGCTGTTCTTCAACTGTGATTTCTTCTTCCTCTTCATCCCGAAAGACGAAATCTTCCTCTTCTCCATCTCCTTAATTGTCTCCAGCTTGGGTTTCCAATGGCGTGAACAAACAAGCTGTGAGTATTGCTTCTGCAACTGAGGGGTGGTGCATACTTTACTCCAACTTTCATCAACATCCTCTTTCATTCCACCTTCTTCCATCAACTGCCAAATAAATTCATCAGAAACGCGTATTCTTAAACACCCGGATGAACTCTTTTGAATGTGGAAAGGTTGGCAAGCGGAGGCCTTCTTCAACATCGCATTTCTTGATTCCTGAACAGATGAACATGGAAGCGGAGACTGTGGAGATCGAGCGTTGGCAAAGGAAGCAATGGTAACGAATGATAAAACTGACTGGAAAAATTGTTTAGGAAGAAGAAAGTAGTTGTGGCCAAGCTGGAGCTTGTCGTCTTTGGAGAGAGCTGGGATCTTCTGGCCTATGTAAAACGAATCAGAACGGCAAACCATGTGCTTAGGGAACTCGGTCATGAGCTCTGAAACATGGATGGGACGGTCATAGATCTTGACAAGCCCGTCAGTGTTCATTACCTTGACTGTACCAACGGGTTCAGGCTGGAGGTGGAGGCACGAGATATGGTGGCCCAACAAGTGCAAGCACCAAGGAATTGTATGTCGATTTAAAAGCTTGATACCCATTTTTAGCTCATATATATATATATATATATATATATATATCATAATCTTTCCCCTGATTCACAGGGTGATTGCAGAAAGAAACGCAGCAAACTCAAAAGGGTCGATTTTTTGTTTCTTTTTGCTGGAGGAATATATGTGGAGCACGATTAAGCCGGTGTTTGAGATTGTAATGTTGGTTGTTGGCGTCAGAATAATCGATGGGAAACTAAGACTTGTAATAAAATGACGAGGCGACCGTGAGTGGCTGGCCGGCTGGCTTTATATATATATATATATATGTAAATTGCCATATATATATATATATATATGTAAATTGCAATGCATTACATGGCTGAATTGGAATTGTATAACTTATATACTACTAGTCTACTACTAATAAAATTGAAATGTAGACCAGAAACTAGAAAAGGGAGGGAGGCGCAAACTGGTATTTTATTAGAGAGAGAGGCGTGAGACCGGGTAAACCTTTTCTGGCACGTACTACTTTACTTTTGCGTTTCTTTTTTGTTTTTGCTTTCTCAAAGTTTGACACTGCTTATGTTTGACTGAAACTTTCTCTCGTCCCTTTCTCCGACGCCAATTGGGGCCATCTCTCCCATTTTGCGTTTTGATTTTTGAATCAGATCCCGCCCGCCTCCTCTCCTCTATGAAGCTAAACCTCTACGTCCAACATATATAGTACTAATACTATTATGGCAATGGATTCATAATTTTTTTAATGATATTCACTTATAATATATAAATTTATTTTATTAATAAATTTATTAATTTTATCAATAAAAAATGATATTTAAAATTTTTTTTGGAGTGTTTAAAAAGTTTATTTTTTTATTTTCTAATTTTTTAAAGTGTCAAAAAAAAATTTTCCTTGTGACCATTTGCGTCCACCACTTACACTCTATACATGATAATCATGTTTAACACTTACTACTTTTATTCACAGTGAAAGCTTAACAGTTTTAAGGTGGGACGGCATATTGATGATCAAATTAAACAATCTATAAGATTTGTTTGGTAGTAAATTTGAGAATTTAAAATATGATATAATAATATAATACAAAAAAATATAAAAAATATAAAAAAAATACGATTTAAAATTTTAATAAAAATTATATATAAATTTAATAAAAATAAAAAAACTTTATATTTTTTATATTAATATAAATTATAATATATAATTTTCATATAAAATATAACATAAATATATAAATTATTAATATTTTATATGATATAAATAAATAAATAGATTAATATTCTAAAACTATGTTCTATAAGGTGATTCCGTTCTCGGGATTGTCACACCCTACGTTATCCATAATTGACTGATCAGTTATTTATAAGTTGAATACGCTGAATATGTGATATATATCTCTATATTGACGGGCAAACAAAAGAATATCTCCTTTTTCTCTTCACCAACTCTCTCGTGTGTTTGAGCAAAGGGTGACAAGTGACGACACCCTACAATTTCCAATGAATGCAGAGACACCATGTCCGTAGGCAAATTGAGATTAATTAATTTAAATATTTTCAAATCAATTATTACATTTTGAGATTAAGATTAAATATTTCATTATCTTCTAGTTTAATATTCAATTTTGTCATTGATTGAATTTTATAATTAAACTTTGATTTTTAAGTGATTTAAGAACAAAATTAAACACATGTTTGCCTTATATTAGGACTTAGGAAAAAAAAAAAAGAGGGTGATGCAATAAATATGTCCAAACAGGGCATGCTTTCCTTTTTTTTTTTTTTAATTTTGTTTTCTTGTTATTCAGCATGAAATTGCAAATTACTTTTCTTATTAGGTTCCAAAAAAAAAAAAAATCAGTTTTCAATTTTGTTTTCAAAAAGTTATATTTTTATAAAGTTAAAATTTTATGTCATTTGAATGAATGGATTTGATTTCAAATAGTACTATTAACATAACTTTTAAAATCTCAAAAAAAAATTAACTTTTAAAATATTTATTCTTAAAATATTAAAAACGATTTCATATTATTATTAAATTTAGTAATAGTATAATATTAATAATTTAAAATAGTAATATTTTAGGGTTTTTGGTCTCATTTCTTGTTGACTATCAAGTTATTTTTTATTTATTATATAATTTTTTACTAAATTAAAAGAATAAAACGTAGAAATTATCTTTTGAAAGTCAGTTTTACGTGAAACAAACCAAACCTTGGTGTTATAAATATTTATGTAGCAAAAAGCATTTGTTGTAGATCATATGATATACTTTCTTCCAATTTCATAAATCAAAAAAAGAATAAAGATAAGGTTCAAATTTATATCTCATTTCTGAATATGTAAAATTTTAGCATTACACTTTCTGATTTGATTCAAAACTAACAAAAAGTTAAAAAAAACACTCTATTTTTTTTTTATCAACATTCTTTCACCATTAGCTTTTAATTAGAGGTGTCCAAAATAGGATCAAGTTGAACTAAACCTGATTGACACCTCTAAATCCTAACCTAAATTTGAATCACCATAAAAATATTTTTAAATTTTTAAATACATATTAAAATTAAATTTTAATTAAAATCTATCATTTAATAATATAAAATATTTTGAAATGAATTCAAGCCTAAAACATCATATTCAAGACTCAAGTTAAGTCCACTCACACCTGTAAGTCTTACGAGTTTTAACCAAATAAAAAAAAAATAAAATTGTACCAATTAAAAAATAAATGATAAATTTGAACATTGAGCCTTTAACCTTCGTACTCACCAAGACTAGACCAACGTAGATGCTTTTCCTATCACCCAAATCAAAATCCTCGAAACCTATGCCTCTAACCTTCGCATTCGAATGCCTTGCAAACTTGTAACTTCTGTTTCATTTTATTTCATGGGCATTCGAATGCATTGTAAACTTATACCTTTTATTTCATTTTCCGTCATGGCATTCGAATGTCTTATATATGGCTTTCGAATTCCCTGTTGACTTGTAGCTTCTGTTTCATTCCTTCATGGGCATTTGAATGCCTTGCTAACAACCGATTTGATTGTTTGGGCTTTTTTCATGGGTGTTTGAACTCGAATTTGAGGTTTTTTGAATTAATCAAGCTCAACACAAAGATATCAACATATTAACACATCATTTGATTGTAAATATTAAAAATGAAGGGAGTGAAGCAACCAACAGAACATAGAAAATTATATTTGACTAAAATGATAAGGTTTATATAAATTATGTTCCGAATATTCAAATACGAGCATCCTTGATATAGACCATATAATTAAAATGCAAAATTTCAAAAATCTTAAAATGAACTATGGTTTAGAGTTTGATGTAGGCTCAAGAATAGGGAGTGTGTGACGGGGTGGACAAGGACCACGTATAGCCATGGATTTTTGTGAAACCCTAGGGGATCTCGACTGACTCAAAGATGTAGCTGCTTTGTCTTGCAATTGTTCTAATATACAATCAATTTTATCAAATCTAGCTACCATGGTGGACTTAAAAGCACACAACCTTGCCTCTAATTGTCTTACCTTACTACCATATTCATCAAACTTCAAGTTCAATTTATTCTGCAGGTTTAGCAAAATGTTATTGGTAGGTTCTTCTGTTACTTGGTTAAGCCGCTATGGGGTATGATATTCACTCTAGTATCCCTCTTGTGGAGCTTCCTTTTCCTCTATTTCTACTTCTTTTGGCTAGGAGCTTCTTTGTTGCTCTTCACCCATTTACCATCCATTGCCTTGTAACCCGTTTTGTTAATAGCTATCATTTTATACTTCTTTCTTATGAGTTTTAGGCCATATTTGGGATTCAATCTAATGGCTTATTTAGAAATAATGGCAATGATGGTGACATAAGGTAAATGGCATTTGTTTCTTTGTAAGAGGATTCTTTGCAACATCATCCACTATTGACTTGAGAATGCCTTTCATTCTATTCAGTATATACCCAGACAAATTTATGGGTAGCCTAGTAGTAACACAATGTAATAGCCATAAATTTTCCCTTGTTACAAGTTAAAAGTTCCATTTCTACACTAGATAATAGATGCTATGAAGTGCTGTAAAAACCTATACTCTATTGATTTAAGTGAAGTAGTTTAAACATGCTTATCATGACTTCAATCTAGACCAAAGTATTTTCTCCCAGCAATAGTGGAACAAATATTTTCAAGAATAGAAAATTGCCCAGCAACATTTGAACACCCAATAATCTTGCCTAGGTCACTAGGAGAAATGTCGTGCTCTTTGGCATAAAAAATGTATACAAGTTTGCAGCTTCCAATTACTAATACCATAATATGATTCACTTCTTTTCAACATTTTGCTAGAGTAAAATTGCAAAACTAACTAAGGATTGTTCCATGTTTCTTTAATATTTGCTAGTCCTAGCCAACCAACTTGAAAAAGTAAATTATGAATTGCAAGCCTAAAGTCCATATTCTTAAAATCATCCCAGTTAATTGAATAGTTTAGGCACCTAATTTTATCTAGGCACGTTCTAGTTAATTGTGATCCTTTTAAAATCAGGCCTAGTTCATGTCCAACACTACCTTAAGATTGATGAATTTTTAAAACTAAATTTTGGATTAAAATGACCCGAATGTCTCATAATCAAACTTGGTCAAACACAATCAAATAAGGTCAAACTTAGTTAAACTTGGGTCAACCCTTGAAATTCATAACTGAATAGGATTATTAAGGCTTGGGATTAATAAAATTATGATTTTGATGCACTGGAAACCATGATTGCACCTCGAGATGAATAAAATTACCAAAATACCATTTACGAGTATTTCGTAATTTTACTTTCTCAAGGTCTATTTTTCATGGAAAGCTTCAAATCATGCTTTGATATTATGTAATGAATTTTGATCTATTAAAAATCATGATTTCACCTTGGAAAATTTGAAATTACCAAAATACATTTTAGGAGTATTTTCATAATTTGACCTTTTCAAGGTTGGTTTTTTGCGAATAGCTCCATTTCATGTTTTGATATTATTTTTTAATTTTTGATACTTTGAAAACCTTGATTACACCT